CCACTTGTCCTAGCCTCTCGCTATAGGGTCATTATGGTTTAACCCTTCTAATGAAAGACGCAGCCCCAGTCATGTCTCGAAACCCTGCTCACATCACCGAGCAGACAAGTTGAGTCGTCTTGTTTTGGATGGCGGCTTAACACCCTCTCTCTCCTTCAATCTATCAATCAAGCATAATTAGTTCCTACTTAACTTTCTACCACCGTTCTTCACATTCAACGTATTTCCTAAGCTATCAGTTTCAATAGTCTGTCTTATCTTTCTCTTAAACACAGACATACCATAGTCAGCAAACCTACTAGCTTGACACCATTCTATTTCATGTCCAGTTTCTGGCATGTGTTCGGCCACTTCTAACCGTTGGTCCCAACTTCCTTTACAAGCATTTTTGTGTTCTCTCAATCTTTGTCGAATAGGTCGGCATGTCTCACCAACATAACATCGAGCACATGAGCAAACAATCTTGTAGTAGCTGGATCTCGAAAATGGGTCATATTTCTTTTTAATAGATGGTATAACAGAAGAAAGTTTGTGGGATTCATTGAACACTGTTTTTATCCCCTACTTTATGACTAATTCGCCTAACCTTTTTCGGAGAAGGCATGACAGCAAAATTAGGACATGGGAAAAGGTCTCAGTCTTTCTCTCTTTGACTAAATGATATCCGTCTGAAAATGTATTTTTCAGTAGAGAAATATTATTCTTAATAAGGCCTAAAGGATAATTATTGTCCAGGAATATATTTGTCAGCCGTTCCAACTCTTTCGTCAAATGTTTGCTATCCTCCAGCTTCATTCTTCTAAGAATCAAAGACTTCAAAATTCCAAATTTATTCTTGTAACTATGGTTAGAAGCAAAATTAAGTAAAGAGCCAATATATGTTGGCTTCCAAAAAACGTCTCTTGCCAACTTACCTTATTATCTTATCTTTCTTATCTTTCTTTTAACCGATCAGTAAGCCTACTTGTTTGAGACCATTCTATTTCATGCCCAGTCTCTGGAATGTGTTCAGCCACTTCTGACCGTTGGATCCAGCTATCTTTGCAAGCATTTTTGTGTTCCCCCAATCTTTATCGAATAGATTGGCATGTCTCACCGACATAACGTCGAGCACATGAGCAAACAATCTTCTAGCAACCGGACCTCGAGAATGGGTCCTATTTCTCTTTAAAAGATGGCATAACAGAAGAAGGTGTGATGGTATCTTTGAACACTGTTTTAATCGTCCACCTTCTTACTAATTCGTGTATCATTTTTGAGAGAAGGCATGACGGCCAACTTAGTACATGGGAACAGATCTCAATCTGTCCATCTTTGACTAAGTGGTCTCCGTCTGAAAATGTATTCCTCAGTAAAGAGATATTATTCTCAATAAGGCCCAAAGGATAATTATTTCTCAGGCATATATTTGTCAGCTGTTCCAACTTTTTAGTCACCTGATTGAAAGAGAGAGAGGGTGTTGAGTCGCCATCAACAAACCCATAATACATGAGTTATGACAGTGCATCGAAGTACTAATGCAAACTTATATTCCTTGGAATAGGTTGAATAAGTCACTTATTCACAGTATCTTGCTACTATGACTCATCTACTCCAACGCCTATGAGTGAGACAATCAATTACAATAACAAAGCACAAGTTTCTGAGATATGAAGATCAGTTGAATTTCGAAGAATCCCTAATTTAGATCGCCAAGTTAGGCATAAGAAGTAAGTATAATTGCAGGCATCCACTTTTTGTGGTTTCCTATTTTTTGGTGATTTATGCAAATGCTGGTTTCTGGCTCTGACGATGTCCTTCACATGACGAACAAAGGCTCAGCACGAATGGGTTGGGGTGGCAGGACAGTAAAAGGAGGGCTTCTTGGTACGATCCAACACTCAAAAGCCCACTGCAACCCTTTTTCGATATCCGATGGGGCCAATTGACGAATCCGCTCCACTCACCCTTTCAAACTAGACGAAATGTATGCCAGGTTAAAGGCACACATTTGCCTAGAAATATGAAATGTCTTAAGGATCGCTTCTGCCCTGTGAACGAATGACCCTCGTAATAGTATGAGGTAATGAAAACATGTCGAAACTATACACACTGTCCCGGTGGTTAGAGTCCCATTTGGGTGCCGATAGGACACAGGCAAGGTCAAAAGTACAATCGGTTTTTGAGAAGAAAAGCTGTATGAAATTCAACGTAAAAATGAGGCTCACACATTTGTGCAAAAGTTCAATCATCAGACCTTCAGCATTTTATAGGATCTAAGTTAAATACAGCCTCTAGACAACATCTAATAATAGCATCGGAATATAAACTTTTACTCTTCCATCACAATTAACTATGTTACTTATATTCATTGTAAGTAGGTATCGAGACTATCAGTAAGTCTGGAATAGGAGTTCTAGTCAATAGAGTTCTTAATACGTTATGAAGTGTTGATAGTCTAATTGCCTGATAATTAATGAAGTCTGGTCACATTAAACTTTTCATCATCTTATGCAATCTGTAATGAATGGAATTCTTGCTAAATCTAACATTTTCAGATTTTTTATGGCAGACTTAGACTCTGCAAGCATGAATTGGTTCGAGGTGTAGTGTGCAAAGAACTTTTTCCTTCTAATCAACAACAGCCAACTTTTTTCGGTTACCGATGAGGCTAATTAGCGAATTCCTTCCATCCACCTTTTCAACTGAAACGGATAGATTTGTTGGGAACACTGTTTATTTTCAGACAATTAAATAAGTGTTCTTCTCGCAAGTTGGCCCAATTAGGGCGGCTACGGTTTTGATGATTATCAATTATTTCTTCCATTTATCACCGGCTGGACACTTGTTATCTCAATAGCCTAATCTGATCTACATTTCTGCATTTGCTTTGGTTTGCTGTCGTTAACCGCACACACGATCCTGACTTGGGCAAAATAAGGTGATCCATAATTCCTGCGCATGCCGATGCATACCTGCCCAGATGTCTGCAGAGCTGTTTGCCTTAAGCCTCTTCCGTTGAGTCAGAAGGGCGGTAGGAAGAAACGAAACCTGTAAGTCACTTCTTAATACCGACGTCTGCTTGTCTCCTCGTTAAGCTAAGCAACGTCGGGCTGTAGCCTTTTGGCATTTTGAAAAAAAAGTTGGGTTTCGAAGAATCTCTTGTTTCATAACTGTTGAGCTTACTTCCATTTCAAGTAAAAGTGTTGCGTGAAGAGATTCGAAGATCGGTTCCGCCAGAAGACAACGGCCGATTCCTCTTGACCAGTTGTTGATTAGCTTTACTGGAACATTCATGCTGACGGTGTTTCCGAGGCAATCACCTTCGATTCCTGTAAAAAGGTGCTAATCTTTTGTGCGTCACATGACGGACATCATCAGAGCGGGTTACCATCTTCAAAACAAAATTCAAGCTAACGAATCAAGAAAACTGACCGGAAAATCCCTAAAAAGTGGTATATATACACTCTACATCTGGCCTATTTGATCAAGTATAAAGTGATTTGGTTAGTTAAGGTCATATGTCAACTTCGATGCGTGTGAGTGTGTCTATCTCTGTATTTGTATGAGCCTTAACTGACCAAATTACTTTATACTTTATCAAAGAGGCCAGATGTAGAATATATATACCACTTTTTAGCGATTTGTCGATGAGTTTTCTTGACTTTTGAGCTTGAATTTTGTTGTGAAGATGGTACCTCGCTCTGATGATGTCCGTCACGTGACGCACGAAAGCTTAGCACCTTTTTACAGGAATCGAAAGAGATTGCTTTGGAAACAGCGTCAGCATGAATCTTCCAGTAAAGCTAATCGACAGCTGGTCAAGAGGAATCTGCCGTCGTCTTTTGGTGGAACCGACTTTTGAATCTCTTCATGCAACACTTTCACTCGAAATGAAAGTAAGCTCAACAATTACAGCTTTATCCGTTCTCATCTGCCCCACCTCTGGTTTGTCCTCCATCCACGAACCATCTTGATGGGCTCTTCTACCACAAGACCTGGCACTGACTTGAACACACATTCTTACATCCCGGACTCTCCAAGCACATGCTGGGCCAGGCAATACAAGCTACTAGGTCGCCATGAGGGAAGAAAGCTGAACACGTAATTGGACGGAGAGCCGAAATTTTCTTCGCACAATCCAACTGTTGCAAGTCGGTATCTGATGTCGCCTTTTCAAACGAGACGAATGGCATGCCATTGTCAATACATTAATTGACCCTTCGAAGACCATCTTTTTATCACATCCAACACATACATTTGGAGGCCAGTGTTTTCGAAAGTCCCCTTTGTTTTTCGTTTCGTAAGTATATGCGAAGAAAAGTTAGGTTTCAAGGAATCGCTTGTTGAGCTTACTTCCATTTCGAGTGAAAGTGTTGCGTGAAGAGATTCGAAGCTCGATTCCACCAGATGACGACGGCCGATTCCTCTTGACCAGCTGTCGATTGGCTTTACTGGAACATTCAGGCTGACGTTGTTTTTTGAGGTAGTCTCCTTCAATTACGTTGAAAAAGTGATAAGGTTTAGGAAACAGCCTCACCATGAATGTTACCGTAAAGCCAATCGACAGTTGGTCAAGAAGAATCCGCCGTCGTCTTCTGGTCGAATCGAGCTTCGAATCTCTTTACGCAACACTTTCACCCGAAATGGAAGTAAGCTCAACAATTATGAAACAAGAGAGTCCTCGAAACCCAACTTTTTTTCGCATAAACATATGTTTGCCATTTAAATCGACAGTGTTACTTATTCTCAATTTAAGTAGTTTAGGAAAATATTGCTAATTATTGAATAGGAGCTTAGTGGCCCAAGGAGCGGTAACACCAACATTTAGAATGAAAGTGTTCAATGAAGAGATTCGAAGGCAGATTTTACCAGAAAAAGACAGCGGATTCCCCTTAACCAGCTGTTGATTGTCTTTACTTGAACATTCTTGTTGATGCCCTTTTCGAATCAGTCTCCATCGATTCCGCTGAAAACATGCTACACTCTCGTCTGTCGCATGACATACCAGGACATCATACTTACAACCATTTTCAAGCAAAAGAGTTTTCTGGAATCAAACGAGATTGCCCCGAAAGAAGCGTCAACTAGAAGGCTCCAGTAAAGCCAATCGACAGGTTGTCAAGGCTAATTCGCTGTCGTCGATAAACACTTAAACTCGAAATGAAAGTAAGCTGAATAATTATAAATTAAGAGATTCCTTGAAAACCAACTTTTCTTCGCATACTGACGACACGGATGATGAGACAAATGCAAGGTATAACTTGCAGGTTCTCCAAAATGAGATTAACTTTGGGGAGTCTACTTATCCCATTTTGTGGAACCACTCAACTATCATTCCTCGAAATCTTTTTAAGCGACCAAAGCTGCCTTAGAGTTGGCTACATTCGCCATTCGAGAAGAAAGACTTTAAGCAAAGAGAGCGCTTCCGTTAAGAACTTGCTTCCATAACTTGGAGTTGACCGGCAGGCCTCTTATATATGAAATGGATACTGGCATTATCAATGAGGTAAAGTAGTATTTTATCATTATAATCGTATATGTGGGTTTTCGAGATTATGTCTCAATCGTGAAAAGTGTCTCAGTCACTAAATCTCTCTTAAGTTTGTAAAAAATGTGAACGTTAACGGTATAAACTGCAATGCACACGGATTGAGAATTCCTTCTGGAGGCAAATCTAAGGAAACTTTAATTAAGTAATTAAATGGGAAAGTTTAACGATCAGATCTTCCTCACATCATGCCGCCTAGACTGACTGGAGTTTTGGCACAAGTTACATTTTGTGTTATCAGCAAAAGCTAACTAAAAGACGCGTTTCTTGACAGGTTTTACTTGGCTTTCCTCGAGAGTGACATCTGCCTTGAGAGCCATC